TAATTTTTTTAGTTTTTTGAGACAGGGTCTCACTCACTACGTAGTTGAGACTGACCTGGAACTCACTGTGTTGTCCAGGCTGGTCTCGAACTCACAGCGATCCTCCTGCCTCAGCCTCCCGAATGCTGGGATTACAGGTGTGAGCCACCACACCTGGTGTCTGATCCCCTTTTCTAGGGATGAAAGTCTAGGTATAATTACATTTTCACTGATTTAGGTTTAGAAGAAGAGATGCCTTGTGTTAATATATTTGTATTGGTTTTGAAGAACCATTTCAAAACCGAAAATAGGGTTCCCTGACTTATGAAATCACTTCCTTCTGATTAATATTTTGGGATGAATCAAAGAAGTGTAAAATGATCATGATTGAAAATATCTTAAACCGTGTTCTTACATTCTTTAATGAACATTTTTGCCTTGCCTTCCATAAATCTGTTTATCTTCTATAGGTTCATGTGGTTGAAAGTTGAAGATACGAAATACTTAGCATGGAAAATGCGATGTGGGCAGCTGAAGGTTTCTTTCTTTTTATTCTAAGAAATGTCATTTTTTTTCACCACAATAAAATTAGCATTTTTTCTGGTTATGTAAGTAATACATGTTCACTGTAAAAAAAAAAAAAAGAGGAATGATTTGATTGGATGGTTTTTGTCAATAGAAAAGTAGAAGAATCACCTTTATGATAATTGCACATTTCTATGTTTAAAATGCATACTTATCTAGAGTCCTAACTTTAAGAATTTGAACACATATGTACATACGCACACAAAGAGCCATTTGAGATGATGCAGGCATATGGAGATGAAGTGTCAGGTGATTTAGAATGGCTTAAAGACTGTTTTCAACAGGCCAAGTCAACGCTCCGGATAGAAAGGGAGCATTATCCTAGATATTTTCACACGCTTTCTTACTTAGTCCTTTAGACATTTAATTCTTTTTTTTTTTTTGGTACTGGGGATTGAACTCTGGTAGACATTTAATTCTTATAGCATCAATATAAAAAAGGTATTATTGAGTAGAGGGGTGTGGGAGAAGAAAAAGTTTTATTATATTCATTTTAATGTGCAGGGAATTTAGGGCCCAGTAGGTTAAGCAGTTTTGCCCAAGTTTGTATAGCACATCAGTGGTAGAACTGGCATTTGGACTTAGGGCTTTGTGACTGTGAATCCCCAAATTCTGCATAAATGCTGGTGCCCATCACTGAAGACTGCGAATAACTAAAGACCTTGTGAGTATTTCCTACTGGTAGTGTACTGTTGTATATTCATTTATTTTTGCTGAGAGGTACATAATTTTTTTTTACTAGCAGACCTTTTCCCTAATAAATGTATTATTTATTGTTTTTCAATATCTAAAATAATCAACTAGACTTAAATTGGATCCTTCTGATCATTATCTGTTTGGGATGTTACGCAATTTAAGAGGATGATCCGGTTATCCCTACCTACCACAGAGGGTCTCTCTCTATATATATATTTTTTTTTTTTTCTTTTGCCTATCTTCCACCTTTAAAAAGATTAATACTTGAACTGGAACTTGAACCAAAGCACAGAACAGCATTTCCTAGGAAAGAACCTTGTTCTTCTTATTTCATAATAGTTTAGTTAAATCACTCACTCAAAAAATATTTATCAGTCACTGAGGAAAAGCAGTGAACAAAACAGGACAGGCCTGCCTTCACGTACCTTTTATTCTAGACAGTGAATTAAAAAAATATATACACACGTTTTTAATACACGTGCACACAGACATACAAGCACACTTGCATATGCACACATACATATTGTAGGTATCAGGACCTAGAGGGGATTCCAGATTAATCTGAAATCTTATGCCCTTCGTTCTGCCCCTAAAGGGTCTAGGCCTAATTGCCAACCCAGTTATTCCTGTAACCCCTTGCTTTTGTGTTGTTCCTGAGCCTGAGAAGAACCCCTTGTTCAGACCCTTGCCCTGTGCCCCGAGTGTGGCAGGAGGCTGTGGAGCAGGTTTGGCTCTGGCCAAGGTCAATGGCAGCCTCTCATCTTTCTGAGGCCCTGGCCAGGCAATCTGGAGCCAGCAGCGCTGTGGCTCCTGACACAAGAACCCTTTAGTGCTTCTCAGATGGTTTTTCCTTCTCCTCAGGAAGACAAATTGGGGATTTTATGAGCTAATGTAACTGTTTACTGAGGGGCTGCTGGAAAACTATAAAGGGACGATTGATTAATTGATGAATTTTACATGCTGAGGAGCTTGGTTGGAAGTAACCCTGTTATAAAATGCAGTCTGAGACGGGGCTGGTGAGCAGCACCTTTCCCAGGGGTCCAGGGCATGGGGCAGGGGCTTGAGAGTGGGAACTGGACACCCAGGGAAAAGGTGGAACTATCCATAGTCTCAAGGGAAGAGGTTCAGAAAAGTAAAAGTGAAGATGAGCATTTGTGGCTGCTGACCTGCAGGAGGTGTGGAGCTGAGGTCAGACTCTTCATATCCTCCCCTCCAGGGAGGTGTTGCCATCCACACTTCTGATGAGGAAGGGAGCCTCAGGGAGCTTCAGTAACCTGCCTGCGGCCACCTCTTGTGACCAGGATCTCAGATTTGTTAGCTTCCAAAGTCCGGGCTCTTGTTCTTTTAAACTCTGCCACATCCACAGTGGAGCTTTGGGTGCTGTGTGCCAAGGTCAGGTCTTATTTGCACCTGTATTTCTATCTGTCTCATCTGTGTGACCCAAGGTAGAGCCTTAGACATCCTTAGTGAACAGAAAGATTGACCACATCACAGGGGCATTGTGGTCTGTAAGGTGCCGAGACATATCGGAGCTTAATGGGTATCCAGTCCAAGGAGTGCAGGTTTTTCAGAGAAGGAAACTGAGGCCCAAGGAAGGGAAGGGGCATTTCCAAGGTCAAATAATCCATATGTGGTCTGGAAGGCACTTCTATCAGGTACCCTATCTTAGGCTTTTGTTCAGTGGGCTTTGTCATTGGTCTCCCTGGGCTGTTTTGGGGGTAGGAGTAAGCAGTCCCATCCCTGCCCTGACCTGCCCTATTCTCTACCCTCTCCCTGCTTCTATGTATCTAGAACTCTCTGCCAAGGGGGATTGGAAATTTTTTGGAGGCAAGGAAGAGGGGAAGGTAGTGGAAGGGTTTAGGAGCCAGAAAGGCACCAGGGCCTCTGACTGTGAGACCCTCGCTCTGCTCCCATCCCCCAGTGTCTGTCTCCTGCAGGAGGGCTGTTTATGGTCTCCCTGACAGCCTCTCTCTTCAGAATGGATAATTTCTCAGGCTCTGCCTGCTGATTAGAGCTGGAATTTAAATGAATAACTGTGACCTTGTGAAAGTGCCCTAGTTATGCAGAGGCCCGATGAGGAAATAGACCTCTTGCTTTGGTCCATCAGAGCCCTGGCAGGCACAGGAGGAGGGGCACCGCCATCTGCGGGGGCCCCAGAGGAGGCCGGGTCTGCTGTTGCGGGAAGGAACCACTGCCTTTGCTCTGATCCTTTCTCTGCCTGCTCTTGACCTCTGCCCCTCCTTGTCTTTCCCTTTAAGTGTAAATTATTTCAGGGCTGTCCTGAGCCCTACTCTATTTCCAGGGAGTCGCGCAGTCCAGCCCAAGGGATGCTGTTCCAAACCTGAAATCAGGAAGCAGCATTAGGAGTCTGGCATGGGTCTGTGGACATGAGTGGGTGTCTCAGTAACCTCCCGCTCCAACGGCGACCACAGAGCTGATGGTCAACATCACAGGGAGTGTGTTAGAGAAGCAGAAGGGCAAGCCCCGCCTAGACCCACAGAATCAGAATTGGCTTTGTCTCAAGAGCCTGGAAGTGTAAGCATTTTGATGTTTGAGACACACTAGCCTAGTGATTTCCAATCTCTCCTCCTATCTAGGGCCAGCAGGGCTGTCTGTACTGAGGAAGTGGCAGTTTACTTGGCTTTGTACAGCAGGAGACACCTCACTGATCCAGCTCATAGGGGTAGCAGGGAGAGTAGGGAGAACTAGGTTAGGGAAGCGGCAGAAGGAGCAGTACTTGACCACTTGTCACTGTCCAGGACTTTCTGTATAATGATTTCCATTCCACGAGCATATCAGGATAGCATAGGGAAAAGAAGGGGTTGGTAAACTAGGATTTGAGGACGAAAATCCAGCTCACTTCCTGGTTTTGTAAGTCCCATGAACTTAGAATAGGTTTTACATTTTTTAAGTGATTGAAAACAATCAACAGATGGTATTAGACTTATTTTATGATTTTCCGGTTCATAAAGCTTTTGTCCGAACATAGCCACACTCATTCCTTTATGTGTTTTGAGTGGCAAAGCAAAATTTGTCACCCCCGGGTTATAGCACAGTCTTGGAGCCTGTGACTGGCTTGACATCTTGGCTCTACCATAGCTCTGCACCCTGTTCAAGTTACTTTACCTTGTGGGTCCTACTTTCTGTCTGTGTAAGATAAGGACAATAAGGGTACCTATCTTGTGGGGCTGCTTTGAAGGTTAGGAGAATCCGTGCGTGCCGTCTTTAGAACAGTGCCTGGCACAGAGTAATTATAACATAGGTCTTATTGTAAGTCATCTCATTCAACACGTGTTCTACTTCATAGAGCAGTGGCAGAAAACCTATGATATGTGTGCCACAGCAGGCTGTTTCTATCACTGCAAGCTCCAAA